CGGGGGGGGGGGGCCCCCAAGAAGGAGAGTAGGGGGCCCCCACAATATACATATATATATAGGATAGGGTACAGAAGAAGAGGGGCCCCCTTATTATTATTATTATTATTATTATTTAGATAAATAATTTATTTCTTTTTTTTATTTAATTATTTTTATTTCTTTTTTATTTCTTTTGTTATAGGATATAGGGATATAAACAGCAGCAGCAAGAGCAGCAGCAGGAGCAGCAGGAGCAGCAGCAAGAGCAGCAGCAGCAAGAGCAGCAGGAAGAAGAAGAAAGAAATGCAGGAGAATGGGGGACATAAAAGAAGGAGACAACAGGCAACAGAAGAAGGAGAAGAAACAGATGTGTCTCCTTATATATATAAAAAGAAAATTAAGGGTTTAGGGGATAGGGGCCCCGAGGGTTTATTAGGGAAAGGGGGCCCCGAGGGTTTATTAAGGAAGGGGGGCCCCGAGGATCTAGACGATTCTTTTTATGAGGGTTTAGGGGGCCCCGAGGGTTTAGGGGCAACAGGAGGGAAAGAAGGAGAAGATAATTATGAGTAACATAAACCCTAATTATATAAACCCTAATTATATAAACCCTAATTATATAAACCCTTATTATATAAACCCTAATTATAAACACTTTCTTATAAACCCTTAAATTATATAACACATGCACTTTGCATGCATGCATGCAAAAGGGGAGGGCATGCATTCATGCATGCAAAGTGCATGTATTTTGGGGCTTTGTGTGTTTGTTATATAGGGAGGAGTGGATCCCCGAGGCAGAATTTGAAGAGTCTCTTCGTTATATTCCCAAGGTAGGGTTTAGGGTTTAGGGTTTAGGGTTTAGGGTTTAGGGGTCCCCCATATTAGGGTTTAGGGTTTAGGGTTTAGGGGTCCCCCATATTAGGGTTTAGGGTTTAGGGTTTAGGGTCCCATTACTAGGGTTTAGAGGGCCCCTCTAAAGATCTTTAGATTCACCCTCAAGAAATATCTCCTCCTGTTAGAGTCTAGGGTTTAGGGTTTAGGGTTTAGGGTTTAGGATTTGTGTATAAGGAAGTAATTCCCTTTGAAGGAGAAGCACAAACAGCAACACTTAGTGTTGCATTACCTGCATCTATTATTGCTAATGTTAAGGTAAGAAGACAATAAATAAATAAATAAATAAATAAATAAATAAATAAATAAATAAATTAAATAAATAAAATAAATAAATAAATAAATAAAGAGATCTATAAAGATATTTATAACTTATATATACATGCATGAATAGATTATACTCTATGCATGCAAGCAAATTGCATGCATGCATGCATGCATGCATGCATGCATGCATGCATGCGTTTTTTTTTCTTGTGTGCCTATACAGACAGTTGAATTGAAGGCTGCATTAGTTGGTAATATTGCTCGTTGTTTAGTAGTCATGGGTGTTGATGAAGTTGTTGTATATGAAGATATGGGTAAGAAAAAAAAATTAGGGTTTAGGGTTTAGGGTTTAGGGTTTAGGGTTTACGAATTAGGGTTTAGGGTTTAGGGTTTAGGGTTTATTTGGGATTTATTTGGTGGTCTGGCGTTTCTTTTGGGTTTAGCCTTTTCCTTACTGTTCAGTGTTTAGTGTTTAGGGTTTAGTGTTTACAGTTTATTGTTTAAGGGTTTAGGGTTTAGGGTTTAGGGTTTAGGGTTTAGGGTTTGTGTGCAGCGGACGCCGTGGATCCAAAGACAGGCCGTTCTCCTTCTTTAGATTTTTTTATTCGTAATTTACAATATCTTGAGACCCCACAATTCCTCAGAAAAAAACTCTTCAAATTACATCCAGGTTAGGGTTTAGGGTTTAGGGTTTAGGGTTTAGGGTTTAGGGTTTGGAGTTGGTATATGGTTTTTAGCTTGCAAGTATCATTTTTTTCCGCTTTTTTTTTTCTTTTTTTTTATTTAATTAATTAATTAATTAATTAAATTAATTAATTAAGTATATTTATTTATTTATTTATTTATTTTATGTATAGATCTACGTTATGCTGGTATCCTGCATCCATTAGATGCTCCTCATCATTTACGTATAAATGAATGGTTACCTTATAGAGAAGGAATTGTAATAAAGGAGACACTAACTGTCTCCTTTGTATATTGTGGTCTCCCTTATCTTATACAATGTAAACCTAAAGTACCATTAGGTACCAGGTAAATAATAATAACTCCTGCTCCTGCTCCTGCTCCTGTTGCTGCTGCTGCTGTTGCTGTTGCTGCTGCTGTTGTTGTTGCTGTTGCTGCTCATAGTGGTATTGATGGTGTTGTTGTTGTTGTTGCTGCTGCTGCTGCTGTACTATTGTATGGTATATCCCTTGTTATCTCTAAATTTAGGGTTTAGGGTTTAGGGTTTAGGGTTTAGGGTTTAGGGTTTAGGGTTTATGTATATAGGGTAACATTACGTTTACATCCTTCATTACGTAAATATAATCAAGGTGTCTCCTCTAATAAAAATATAAAATTTAGGGGACAGCCTGTGTCTCCTAGGGAGCCACCAACAAAAGCAGGTAATTATTATTGCTGCTGCTGTTTCCTTGCTGCTGCTGCTGCTGTTGTCTCCTTGCTGCTGCTGCTGCTGTTGTCTCCTTGCTGCTGCTGCTGCTGTTGTCTCCTTGCTGCTGCTGCTGCTGTTGTCTCCTTCCTGCTGCTGCTGCTGTTGTCTCCTTCCTGCTGCTGCTGCTGTTGTCTCCTTC